CAAAATCTAACATTCATTCTTGATTTAAAAAAAAAACCTCCCAGAAAATTAGGATAAAAGAGAATTTCATCAACTTTCTGAAGAGTATTTGTGAAAAGGAAAGGGAAGGAAAGAAGGAGACCTTCCCAAGGTCATAGCACTGGTTGTGCTAGGTACCTGCAGGTCACCAGAATTGCTAAAACATCTGTCAATGCTGGGACTGAGAATTCTAAAATGAAACTAGCCTTCATATTGGATTCTATGGGATGTTTAATTTCTTGCTGTCTGGGCAGTGTCCTTGAACTAGAATCATACAACAGGTTCTGCCAAGGGACGTAGATCTTTGCTTTGATACTTTAATAATATCAATAGCAATGATAGTGACAACAGGAAAGCTAATAATTACTGCGTAGTCAGTGTATAGGCATTATGTAAAGTCTGATATAGATTAGTTCACAGAATCTTACAACAGCCCTATGACAGAAGTATTTTTAAAAAATGTTAAAGTTAAGGAAACTGAGACATGGAGAAGGGAAACAACTCCTCCAAGGTCACACAGTTACTTTGCCAGACATAGGGATACTCACACACTCTAATTAGACAAGTGATCAAGTCCTAAGGCATTCTGGGTAACTTCAGAATTGATTTTCTCATATCACATGATGGTACACAACACTTACATGAGTGGAACAAAAACTGTAAGGAATTATTTTATACACACAAAGGACTATATATAATATGTGTATCGCATCAAGAATAATATAGCAAAGACTACATGTAGGTCATTTTTCCAGAAATAGTGAAAATTTATTTATAGTAGATTTGTCTGAAATCTCATTTACAGTGGTTTTGTAAATCGAATAGAGATTTATCAAATATGTGTGACGTAGACCAACAGATACTAAACCTTTTTTTCACCTATGATGGGTCTGTGGGTCAGTGTTTATGTGCTTGGAATAAATGTTAACTTTGAGAAAATCTGTACCAAATGCATTTCTGGTGAAAACCAAAAGTAGACATTTCAGAATCACTTCTTTTGGGTACATTACTTTCTGTTAAATTAATTAATTAATCAAATACTTTAAAAAATCATTGAGAACCATATTGAATTATTATCCCTACTAAGGGAGCTACCAGGAAGGGGCAGAGGTGGTTGTCACTGTCCATGGCATCTCATTGCTCAGTTTGTAGGTTTATATTGATCCCTTTGCTTGACTATTAAATATTTTCACACTTGACTTTTATTTCTAAGAAATAATCATACTCACCAAAGGATTTCCTCATCAGAGTAAAATTTTTTTCAGAGTAAATTTTTAATAAAAAAATTACAGGACTGTTATTTGGTTAGTTCGTCTTTTTTTCTTTTTCCCTCGGCTTTATTGAAAAGTAATTGAGAATTTTTTTTTCTATTCGTCTGATCTTTGGGTTTGGAAATTGAAAATATACAAATCTGCATTTTTAATTTTATGAAAACCTGGAAGTATCATATATAGCAAATAATGAACTTCTAAAAAATTAATCGGAAACAAAAAAACTCTGGTTTAATGTTTTTGTTGTTGCTGCTGTTGCTGTTTTTACCAATTTGGGATCACAGGGGTAGCAAATTCAAATTACTGTTCAATGCATTTTGTTAGGAAAGATTTTTTAATAAAGACTGTTAACAGGAATGTTTAGGTTCATTTACTTGTAAATTTCCTACACTCTGACCCCAGTGTTGTAGATTAAAAATCTCTTCAAGGAATATTCAGACATGGAAACTTCCAGTCTGTACTTTAGATGGAACAGTTAATTCCATTGGCTGGGAAGGCCCAAAGCCCACCTCCCGTGCATAGCTATTGGTCTGCCAGTTGCTCCTCGGAGTTACAAACTCCGCGGTCTTCTTACTCGAAACGCCGAGGTGAAGTAGAGCCCATAAATGCCCATGGCATCCCAAAGCCCGCCCTCCATTGCATTGCCATTGGCTGACCTCGCTGTCTGTTGGCGGCCTGGAGTGCAAAGTGGCTCCCTTCAGACCGCAGCGGTGGCCTAGAGGAGCCGATAGTTGAGGCCAATGAGTTAGACCAGTGGGGTGCCCAGCTTTGTCTTGGTCTGTGCGCTGTCAGCTCTCACGAAATGGATAGCTGAGAGGGAGGCTGTACGGTGGCCTCGCATACGTAGCGTTCTCCAGGTGGTGGCAGGGGCGGGCGAGGGCGGTGGCGTTTTGAAATGGGGGTGGCGGGTTTAGAGGAGAGCCTCAGGTGCGCAAGACTCCTCAAAGTGGTGCACGTGGCCTGCGCCTTTGTTCATACATTTTTTACCAAACTTAAATTGCCGGAACCCTCTCTCTGTCCCTCCGGTTAGGGCTGCCTGAATCTCAATTTGTTCAGCTGTAAAATGGGTAGGATTACAACGGCAGTTAGTGATCACTTCAGATTTTTACGTTTTCCAGGCATGTTTCTAAGAATTTTAAATCAATAATAAAGCCAACAACTACTTAAAAATCATTTAAAATTTATAGGTGGATAATTTCGAGGGGAATGTCAGAAAACCATAATCAGCTAGTTCAGGTTTTAATTTTTGTTTTTATACATGGTATGTCTGGTGGTTTTAATGTGATGATGATGATGATGACGATGATGATAACTCAAATCACTTTAAAAGCCTTCAGGGCTTGTCAGGTACCTGTAAAGTACTTGGTTGAAGTAGTGCCAGTTGGGATGGGTTTGGAGTGAGTGAGCCCTTGAGGGAGAAAGCATTGCCCTTGAGTGAGCCCTGGCCACCCTCCACACTCCATCTCTCCACACTCCATCCCTCCACCGGGCATGTTGGCTTTTGCTCAATTTTTTGTAACTATTCAATGCAGCCTAGAAATTAAAGTTTTTAAACAAATAATATTCAAATGAATTTAAATTTAAAATGCACTCCCCCTACCCCCCCAAATTATATTTTCTTTTGGCAAGCATTTTGGAGCCTGTCACTGAGCTCTAACAGTTGTTCCTGACCCTACGTGGCGCCAGGGCTCCTGCACTGGAAGGTGGGGATGGTGGCTCCAGGGATTGAATTTCAGAAAAGAGATTTTTTGAAAAAAAAATCTATAACCAATAAGAATTTGTAAGAAATCAAAATGTTTAAAATTATGTTTGAAGCCATTTTTTTTTTGCCATGCATTTTTTTCAGTAAAAAGTTCAGTGAATTTTGATAAATGTATATTGAATTGTCCAGTCATCTCCAAAAGTTCTTCATGCCCTTCTCAGTAATTTTCCTGCAAGACAACTAGTCTGATTCCCTTCACTATACGTTAGTTTTGCCTGGCTTAGAATTTCATACAAGTGGAATACGGTATTTCTCTTTTGTGTCTGGCTTCTTCCGCTGGACCTTAAGTCTGTAGGATTCATAGAAACATGAAGTAGTTTTTTGCCTTTCATTGCTGAGTAGTGTAAAAAATAATATAAATGGAGCCACTTTAAAACGGAGTCAGAGCTGCCATCCCAGAGGAATTGCCTTGCACACCTTACTCCTCAAAACTTTGGAATGTGTAAACTGGGCAAAATAACCTTTGGACTGGACCTAAAGCAGCATTGAATCCCAAACAATTGTTTGTAAAGATAACATGAAAGCAGATATTATGACTAATGGACTGAAAAGTTAAAAATATTCTTTATAATTAGCATCACTATGTTAACTTATCTGCACTTATAGAAATGCCTTCCTTCTATTGATGTAATTGTTCCCCTTCCCTTTCTCATAAACACCCCTTGAATTGCCTCCTAATCGGAACACTATTTGGGCTTCTGCCTGAATCAGTACTTTCTTAATAGCTATTCTTTATATCTCAAATAAATGCTTTTTGCCTCTCACTTTGGCCTTATAATTTTAGGTTAACAGTAGTATTCCAGGATCCCATTGTTATGTTTCTTTCTCAATTCTTTTGTTATTGGACACCTGGTCTATTTCTGTTTGTTGTTGTTGTTGTTATAAAGCTAATATAAACATTTGAGTACAATTTTTTGCATGTATATATTGTTACTGCATGCTGTGACCAGCTCACCAGAGCTGATTTTGTGACTGTCTTCTCAACTCTGGTTCAGTGATGTCATATTAGCAGCTTGAAATAAGCCATGGTGGCAAACGATACAAATTAGAGCTTTTTCCTCTGGACAGCTGGTTGTTAAACATTTAACACACCACTGGACATGTCTTAATTTCTCTGGTGTAAGTACTGAGGAGTGAGACTGCTGGCTTGCATAGTATGTCTACGTTTAACTTTACAGGAAGCTACCAAACTGTTTCCAAAGTGGTTGTACCATTCTACACTCCCAATAATAATGCATGGAAGTTCCAGTTGTTTCACATTCTCATCAATATGTGGTATTCATTGTCAATCTTTTTAATTTTAGCCACTGAATGGTGAAGATCCGAATAGAAAAGGGACAATGGGAAATGGAGGTTATATGACAGACGAGTAAGCAGAACTTTCGACTCTCTCCTTATAGGCAGAGAAAGCATGTAATAAATACAAGTGGAAGCATATTGAGGCCCCCTCACCTAGGCCCGCTCACCTAGTGACCTTCCTCTGATCCTTCCTACTTCATTACAGAAGGATGCTGAGGCTCCAAATTAGAATTGGAAAATGTTGCAGATATTTGGTCTGATTCCAACCCATTCCAAAGACAGTAAAACGGAGACCCAGGAAAATCCCAAAGGGCTACTTAGGAACTCCAGGTCACTGGAGCAGAAAGGGCACTTAAGGATTCCCCGCCCAGATTCAAGAACCCCTAATGTCAGCCCGAAAAAATTGCCTTGCTTTATGCAGCCACGGTAAGATTGGGGTTAAAGCCCATGCCACGCAAGTCTCCGCCTGCGCGCGACTCTCAACCTGCGAATTTGCCCCAGACCCTGACGTTTCAGGTAGCCCCTCCTAATCCGGAACACGGCCCACATTCCGCCGGTCCTGCCTTGACAGGCGTGACCCTAAGCCAATAAGGATGGAGGGCTGAGCCCGACGGAGCCAATAGAGAAAGCCCGAGGAGTGGTGGAGGCAGACTCTACGAGCAAACAAGAAGACAGGCCCAAGATGGAGGCGGCGGCGGCTGTTGCTGCCTGACAGGTGAGGGTGGGCCCAGCAGGGTAGGTTTCTGGAGGGACCGTCCAGCACGGGCAGGGAGCTGGGGCTGAAAGCTTAGCTCCAGGGTGGCCGCGCATGGACCCCGACGCCCCCTGTCCGGAACTGGAGGAGTGGTTTGACCCGGGGCAAAACCATCGTCCACAGCGGGGGGTAGTGGTGGATAGACAGAAATAGGGGTGCACGGCTGTGGGGGATGGTTTCGCCCGCCTCGTGTGTAGGACGCCTGCGCAGAGCTGGAAGGCCTTCGGAAGGTGGGGCGGGGCAGGGCCGAATGGAGCTTGGGCTGTGGTGTGTTGTGCCCAGATCCCCTCTAAACCCCCTTAAGGTATCTGATGACTCTTCCTTACCAACAATGGGGAGTACGTGGAGACACAGCTTACTACTCGTTTTCCTATTCTGTATCAGTGTCTGACCCACTAGGAGAATATTTGAGAATTCCCCCGTTACTCTTCCTTAACCCTCCCCAGCCTCCTTCCATTATCATCAGAAATATGTCTGTGTCCCTTTCATTACTTGTCAGGGAGAATTTTGGAGCCTCCCTGCTTTACCCTCATTCATCTCACCTCAACAGTGACTGGTGATGCACCATTACCCTCCTTTTCCCCATAACGATGTCTGCTGACCACCATTATCTGTTCTCTCCATTACAGTATGTAGTGACCTCTGTTACATCTTCCTTCAGCATAGTGTCTGTTGAGCCTCTGTGAAATCCCGATCACGGTCTGGTGGCTCCCATTAGCCAACTAACAGTCTGTGAGCCTGTCATCATTACAGCCCAGGGCTTAGGGATGCCCACAGTGTCCTTAAGAACACCCTGGTGCAGTTCCTATTTCCCCCAAACTGTGGGCAATATCTGATGTTCTTTTATTCACTCCCCTTCTCCCTGTCTGTGACTCCTCCCTCAGCACAGTATCTGATAACCCCCTTCTCCATTATAAAGCCACGGCACTGTTCCTGTCCATAATGTTCCTGACACACCCCAGTGCACTGTGTGCTGACTTCCCCATTAGCCCCCAGTAAAGACTTGTGTTCTCCTATGCCCTCAAGAACAGTGTGTGCTGTCTCTCATTGTGTTGTCCTACCCCCACTTGGCCCCATGCAGTTAATCTGAGATCTTGGCTGGGCTGAGTGAAGGAGGAACTAGATCCACTTCAAGGTGTTAACAGGCTCCCTTGGTCTGCTGTGTGGAAATTAGGCTACTGGGGGTGACGTAGAGCCTGGAGATTGAAATTTATTTTTTGTCCCCTGCTACTGTGCTTCCAGACTATCATTATCAGATCTCTGAATTCCTCCTCTGTCTTCTAGGAGCCCCATGGCACCTGCCCAGCCCCACCTCAGCCCGTCTTGACAAAGTCCTAGGCTCCATGGAGCCACCACGGGCACCCCCTGCCAATGGGGCTGAGCCGTCCCGGGCAGTGGGCACTGTAAAAGTGTACCTGCCCAACAAGCAACGCACGGTGGTGAGTCTCATGGGAGCAAAACTGGCAGGGGTGCAGATGGACCCAGTTGTAAATCTTGGATCAGAAGGATAACTAAGGCTGGGAGGAGGCTTTTGCTGAGGGATGGGAGAGTTGGCTGGGGCCTCTGTTGGGTACTGATCCCCCACACCTGCACAGGTGACTGTCCGGGATGGCATGAGTGTCTATGACTCTTTAGACAAGGCCCTCAAGGTACGGGGTCTCAATCAGGATTGCTGTGTGGTCTACCGGCTCATCAAAGGGTAAGTGTGGCATACCCTTCACCCCCAACCAACAGGTGCCCAGCCTCCCATCTTCTCCTCGGAGTCATCTGACTCCTTCTTTACTCTGTCGCAGAGTTACCATTAGTCTTCCCTTAGTTTAGTGAATCCGTGAGTCCATCCAGCTTTTGTTTCATTACTTCATAAGTTTGTTGGCCTATAAGGTCAACAACTTACTCTGCTTGGCCCTCAGGTCTTCACTCTGCTCCATCACCTCCCAGAGTTCATCTATTTCGTTCTTTCACTATTTCATCAACTTGTCAGCTCTCTCCTACCTCCACTTTCCCATTCTCTGTCTGCTGAGTTGGGTCTTGCTGACATTTCATTTATCCCTCTGTTCTGGGGTTCCTTAATTTTTTAATTCAATTCACATATTGATTTTTATTTGTTTCAGTGCCTCATCAGCCGTTTTTTCGGGGGCTTGTTTAGTTTTTTCATCATCTCATTTGCTCTTCACTCTGAGATTTAGTTGTTTTTTCATCATCTCATTTGCTCTTCACTTTGTGATTAAGAGCATGGACTCTTCACACTGTCCTGCCACTCACAATCCCTTGTGGCTTTAGGCAAATCACTTTCTGCCCCTGAACCTCAACTTTCCTATGTGTAAAATGGGGGCAAGGATAGTAACTAGTTCCTAGGGTTACTGTGATGGGAATGAAACATGCCAGATATTACTCCATGGATGGCAGACTTGGAGGGACTTTTAGGAGTTCCTTGCCTCCCCAGGGCCCCTGTCTGCCTTTCCACTCACTCCTTTCTGTGCCTCCTGCAGACGAAAGACGGTCACTGCCTGGGACACAGCCATTGCTCCCCTGGATGGCGAGGAGCTCATTGTGGAGGTCCTTGAAGATGTCCCACTGACCATGCACAATTTTGTGAGTGCAGGGTGTGTAGTGGGGGCAGACCCTGGGCATTAGGGGAGGGTCCTTGACCAGGCCTCAACCTTCCTGCTTTGTGGCAGCAGGTACGGAAGACGTTCTTCAGCCTGGCATTCTGTGACTTCTGCCTTAAGTTTCTGTTCCATGGCTTCCGCTGCCAAACCTGTGGCTACAAGTTCCACCAGCATTGTTCCTCCAAGGTCCCCACAGTCTGTGTTGATATGAGTACCAACCGCCGACAGTGAGCCTGGCCTGGGGATTACAGACAGCTCACCCTTGTCCCTTTGCTCTATACCTTAATACCCTCAAGGTTCTACCACAGTGTCCAGGATTTGTCCGGAGGCTCCAGACAGCACGAGGCTCCCTCAAACCGCCCCCTGAATGAGCCGCTAACCCCTCAGGGTCCCAGGTACAGATGCCTTAGCTAAAGGGCTGCTGTCAGGTGAGGAAGATCTGGAGGCCCCTTTAAACCACAAGCCATTCTTTATTCATTTGTTTACTTGACAACATTTGTTGAACACCTACAAGTATGAGTAAGGACATGGAGCTATGGGACCTTGGGAAAGTCACCTAATCTCTCTGGGCCTCAGTTTTCTCATCTGTAAATGGAACAATGATACTTTTTACCACATAGGGTTCTGGTGAGGATTAAATGAGTTAAGACATATCTGTTGCTTATAACAAGATCTGGTACAGAGTATAAGTTCTTATTATTAACTATAAACATATATATGTATATATGTACATATATGTAAAAGCATATAACTATTAATTCTTCCAGTATAATGATGCTCAAGCCTTCCCATTTTTAAATATATGTATTTAATCATAAATTCCCTTTTATTTTTTATATCAAGTATTATAATACTGTAGTATTTCTATGTTAAAATATATTTTTGCTCTAATATATAAGTTTATAAAATACATGTTTTATATATCTATATTATATATTTTTATTATCTCTGTATTTGTATAT